GGGGGGCTGCACCAGCCGCCCCCCCCCCACCCTTTGACCCTGCCAGTGGCTGAGTTGCTAAGAGACGTAAGGGCTTGGGGTGCAGGGAGGGGTCAGGGCTCGAGGTCATTGGGGAGAGAAGTTTGGGGGCAGAAAAGAAGGGTTGGGGAGGCTGGGGTTGGGGAGGTGGGATGGAAGGGTGTAGGAAGGTGGGAAGGGCCGGGACTGAGGGAAGGGCCTCTTGGGTGCTGGCAGCACCTCTGCCTACCTGCAGCCACTATCCCAGGACACCCAAACTGGCCACCAGTGAGGCTGTCTTTTGTTGCCGGTGAGAGCCGGCCAACACACCGTCCCCTTCCGCTTGCCCCTCCTCCTCCTCCTCCCTCCTGGCTCATTCCAGGAACAGAGCCCAGCCCAGCCTCCACCCGCCCTGCCCGTCTGGCCACGGGTGCCTCCTGGTGGCCACTCTGCGCTTCGCTGGCACCTGGTTCCAGCGAAGAACTTGGGGAAGAACTGGTTCCAGCGAAGAAGCCAGAACCTGCTGGGTGGGCCGGAAGGGGTTCTGGGATGGAGAGGGGGGTCACAGCATCCCACCGTATGACCTCAGCCCTCCCCTCCTGCTGGCTATCCCAGGGGGCTGCAGGCCCAGCAGCAGCTGTGCTTCTGGGAAGGGCAGGGAGGGCTGACCTTGGCCAGGCACTGGCTAGCATCGGTGGGGGATTTCTGATAGGGCTGTCACAGCCTGCCAGGTGGTCCCAAGCAATGACGGTGGGCCTGCAGCTCTTGCCTGAAGGCCCCTCCGCCCATCCTACCCTTCAGGCCACCGTTTTCCCCTCTCTCCATCTTGCCTCACCCTGTGCCTTCCATCTCCATCCCACCCTACCCTTCCCAAAGACACCGACCAAGCACTTTTGTACAATAAAGTTTAATCACAATTATAAAAATGTGGCGTTGGGTTTGCGCTATTAACATATGTACAATCCAGCCCCACGGGAAGGGCCCACCCCCCACCACCTGGTGAGCCGGAGCCTCCACACACCAGGGTGGGAGGGTGACCCACAGGGTCTGGCAGGAACAGAAGATGAGGCAGGGTTCCAGGCACGGAGCCCCCGGACTGGAGGCGCAGGGCCCCCCAGGGGGAGATCATGGCCACTGCCCCAGAAGCCCCTAAACTGGGGAGGGGTGCACGCAGGGCACGGGGGGCAGTCCCCATTAACACAAAGCATAAGGGCCGTGCAGCCCCCCAAGAACAGGATCTGTACAGGCCGGCACCCCAGGTTTCCACAGGAAACAGCTGCTGGCAGCTACAAAACATTTACAGCTTCTTCTCCGCAAAGAAAAAAATGAGGGGGTGGGAGGGCAGGGGCGACAGGGGAGGCAGATGCTGCCTCAAGGGACTGAGGCTCCCTTGCTGGGCTCGGGGCCGCCCAACCCCATACTCGGAGCTGGGGGCATGTGGGCCCTGGTGAACCCACTAAGGCTGGGGGGTGCTGGGAGCTCAGGGCACCAAGGGGGAATAAATAGGGGTGTGGGCACCAGTCCCGCCCCACCTCAGTTGAGGGAGCCGCGGCAGCTCTCAGTGCCGCACAGACACGGGATCTTGTTGTCCTCCAGTGGGAACTTGTAGTCGTAGGTGATCTCCTCATCCACGCCGATGGGCTGCTTGGAGTAGATCACGATCTTCTTCTGCGACTCGATGGTGATTACCTTGGCATAGCAGTTGGGCTGTGGGGGGGAGGGCAGTGTGAGCCATGGCCTGGCCCTCAGTCCCCCACCCACCCCTGCCAGGTCCCCAGCGCACCGTGCAGCAGTGGTTGATGAACCTGGCCAGGTTGCCACACTTGGTGGCATCAATGATGGTGTCGTGGTCCACCCGGAACAGGTAGCTGCTGCCGATGCCCTCCTGCACGTAGCGCTTCTCCCGCATGTCGGCGACCATCTGGTAGGAGGGGATGCAGTGATCACACACGTGCCCCCACTTCCTGTCAGACCAGGCCTGATCCCATCAGCCCTTCCAGCCCCTCGGCCCTTCCAGCTACTACCCCATGGTCCATACAACCAGGCCTGGACCTTCAGCTCTGCCTCTGGCTCCCACAAAGCCAAGGTGCTGACTCTCCCTTGACTTTGCTTCCAGAAGCCTTCCCTCTTCAGGGTGCCCAGTCGAAGCCCCGATATGGCCATTCTAAGTCACCCGCAAGAAGACTCCAGGGAACCTGCACTGGCGCGCCAGGGAGAAGAGCCACTGGCTTCCCCAAGAACATCTGCCTGTTCACTGTGGAGCCCCCAGAATGCTGTGGGATTGAGCCAGTTTCTCAAGTGAAGTGGCCATTCATGCAATGAACTCCCTCATCTCTTCCAGGACCATCTCTCCAACACAGGCACCCACTGGCCGCACTGGCCAACGCAAACCACAGGTTATCCGTGTTAGGGCTTACAGTCTTGTGTGAGAAGGAGCAGCTCTCATTTCCAAGACAGACAGTGAGCCCTCGGCACTCTCTCCTCGGGTGACCTCCCTCCCTCCCAGAGCTTCATCTGCCAGCTGAGTGGTGGGGACTCCTCCCAAACTCCATGTCCAGCCAAAATCCACCTCAGTGGAGATGCTGGGCGTTGCCCCCGAGATGTCCCCAGGCACCATAGCCTCACACATCCAGACTGGAACGCCTCTTAGTCACGTGTCTGTCCCTCCTTGCGCTCACCTCACAGGCAGCCCCACACACTCCTAGTGGCTAACGACAGCCCCTGAAAGACCCCCACCCTGTCTCCACAGCCAACTTACTGCCTGGCCCTGCCAGCTACCTCACACCTACAGGCCATCTTCACCGTGGTGTTAACCTAGACTGGTTCTCTTCATACCAAAATCAGAGGGAGTTTTTCACCTCCAGAGCCCTCTCCTGTTCAGCACCTCTGAGCCTGGTTTCCTCTCACCACAGGCCCAAACAGAGTCATGTCCTCACAAGCTCCGTGCAGTCTGGGTTGCCCTTGTTGCCCCAGCCACACATCACTGCCTCGGGCCCTAGGTTTTCCAAACGGCCATTCTGCCCTCCTGGCGCTCACAAGACTTCCTGACTCGAGGCCTCTGCACACGCCGTACAGCGGCCAGGAACACACTCCCCTCACCTGGGCTGTGCGTTCCTCCTCCTCTTTTGGCTCCTGCGTAAACATCACTGTCTCTGGAGGTCTTAGGCCGCTTGGGTATGTGTTCCCTTTGCCCCCACCTCTCCCTCGTTTTTTTTTTTGAGTTGGAGTCTCACTCTGTCACCCAGGCTGGAGTGCAGTGGCATGCTCACAGCCACCACAGCCTTGACCTGCTGGGCTCAGGTGATCCTTCTACCTCAGTCTTCCAAGTAGCTGGAACTACAGGCGCATGCCACCACACCTGGCTAATTTTTAAAATTTACTGTACAGATGAAATCTTGCCAAGTTGCCCAGGCTGGTCTCAAGCCCCTGGGCTCAGGCAATCCTCTCACCTCCGCCTCCCAAAGCGCTGGCATTACAGGTGAGTCACTGTGCCTGCCAAACCTCCCCTTTAATACCAAACACCATCCTTTCTTTCTTTTTTTTTTTTTTTTTTTTTGAGTTGGAGTCTCACTCTGTCGCCCAGACTGGAGTGCAGTGGCCCAGACTGCAGTGCAGTGGCCGATCCCGGCCACCGCAGCCTTGACCTGCTGGGCTCCGGCGATCCTTCCGCCTCAGCCTTCCACGTAGCTGGAACTACAGGCGCGTGCTACCACACCCGGCTGATTTTTTGATTTATTGTAGAGATGAGGTCTCGCTGCCCAGGTGGGTCTCGAACCCGCGGGCTCAGGAGATCCACTCACCTCAGCCTCCCAAAGACGCAGGATTACAGGCTGAGCCACCGAGCCCGGCTAAACACCATCCTTTCTTACGCTACTTGTTCACTGCCTGTCTTTTCCACTTCCCCAGGTCCTTAATGGGAACAACACATCAGTCTTGTATACTGCTGTTCACCCGGACTGGGAGGGAGGCTGGTTCCGCTGGCTAGGTCTTGGAGCTGGGAGGGCATGTGAGGCTTTATCCAGAGGGCCAAGTGACACTCACAGGAGCATCCTATGGTGTCTACTGTCAGATCAGGAGCTGGGGGTGGGTGTGAAGCCTCACCTGGCGAATGTTCTGACCCACATATTCGATGACCATCTCGTCAGCTGCAATGGGTTCCATGGCAAACAGACCCCACTCATGGATCCGGCTCCGGCCAAATCGGAGCTTCTTCTTCCGGAACTAAGGGACAGAGGAGGATGGTACTGCTGAGCACCCCCCACACCCAGGCTCTTTGCCCTTCCTGCAGACCTCCTGAATGGTGTTCTTGCCACTTGCCCCTCACACCCACTCCCAGGGGACCACAGGAGCCTGCTGTGGGCAGCTCCCCTTGCTTCAGCCTTTTCACTGAGCCTCCCCCACACGTCAAATCCCCACCCCTCACCTTGAGCTGGTTTAGCTTTAGCAGATCGCTGTCCATGATGGCAGAGGTGCCAATGGCACTCAGCAGCCGTCGCTGCTCAGACCGGCGCTCAGAAAGCACACGATTAGTCCCCTGTGAGAAGCAGGACAGGGAGGAGGTAAGTGACAGAAGTATGGGAAGAGGGTGCAGTGGGTCACGGGTTAGGGCAGGGCCCCACCTGAGTGTCCACTCCTTCCAGCTGCCGGGCCGAGACAGGGCACACGTCCAGGTACTTGTCCTTCTCCTTTTTGCTGATAGGGTAGTAGCCTTCGCTGCGGGCTGAGCCTGTCTGGTGCTCTCGGGGCCCATCCTGGGGCCGCCGCTTGCGTTTTGGAGTGCTCAGGTTGGTGAGTGCGGGGCGTTAAGGAAGAAAATGGGCTCCTCACTGGCCAGATCCCTGGGGTCCTGGCTCCTCTCTGGCCACCCCAGTCCCAGCCCAAGCAAAGGGCGGCTGGCCTTCGCTGGCGAGCATGCTCAGTGTGAGAAAGGCAGAAGAGAGAAGGAAGTCTCAGACTCCACCTTTTCTGCGAGCAAAGCACTGGGAGGCAGAAAGAGGCAGGAAGCAGAGAGAAAAGCTGGCCTGGAGCGGAGGACAACACACAGGCTGGGCATGGCAAAGTGAGTTGGACAGACAGGAGGGAGACAATGCAGACACAGGAGGGATCTGAGGACGCGGCCCAGCTGTGGGACCCCAGGGAAGGCCGCCCCCGCCCCCAGGCCTCTGCGGCTCAGGATATTTGTGTGATGGACCCAGTGGGTGTCGTTGAGCCAGTCAGCCCCGCTGGTCTGCTGAAGCAGCCGCTCATACGTGAGCCGCAGGTAGCTCATGTCTTCCAAGTCCAGGCCTGAGTTCCAAATGTCATACAGGATGGTCATCTGCTCAAACTCGCTGCGGGCCTCGAAGGGCGGGGGCGGGGGCGGTGGGGGTGGC